AGCTCCCCGGTGTCCCCAGGAACGGGGGAGCTGGAGCGCGGCCCCAGCCTGGAGGCCATCGATGAGCCGCTGGCAGAGGACAGGGAGGATGAGGATGGTGCCTTGGAGACGGACGCGAGGTGAGGAAGGAAGGAAGGGCATCATCACCCCGCAGGTGCCCCAGGGCTGGTGGCACCTCACTGGTGCCCACTGGGGCTGGCACGAGGGGGCTGGAGAGGCAGAACCCCCAGTGGAGGGCACGGTGCAGTCAGGGCTGGTGTCTGCCCATGTGTCCACCACTGTCCCCCACCATCCCAGCGTCTGTCTGTCCACCATCCCAGGGTCCCTCTGTCCCTCTGTCCATCTGTCCCTTGTCCCAGTGTCTCTCACTGTCCTGGTGTCTGTCTGTCCACCATCCAGGCCAAACTAACGGTGGTCTCTTCCCGCAGTTCCCCCTCCGAGGAGGTGCAGGAGGCCACGGAGCCCCAGGTGGGTCCCTGCTGGGGGGGTGAGCAGTGGGGTTCACCCTGCAGCACCCCCAGCGCCATCCCAGGGTTGTGCTGCACTTGGAGCGATGGGAAAGGTCCCACAAAACGTCCCGTGGGTGTCCCTTGGGTCATCCTGGAACACAGAGGGGAGGCCTGGGCTGGGGACGAGGGGCTGCCCGGGGTCCCCTCTGACCCTTTCCTTCTCAGCCCAGCCCCCCCGGCCCGGCTGTGGAGGGGACCCCGGGGTCACAGCCCGTGCTGCAGGGTGACACCCCCCCGAGGGAGCAGGACAGCCCGGCCCAGCCAGGTGAGTGGGAGGGGGTCGGTGCTGGGGGGGCCGGGGCTGGAGCCCCCCAGCCCCGCAGGGATCCCCTCCTGCCCCCCCAAACTGCGGCCCTTCAGGGATCCCCTCCTGCCACCCCCGCCCCTTGGACCCCCGCCCACCCCTGGTCCTTGCAGGTGACACGGGGGGTCCCTCCCTGGGCTCGAGCAGCACCGAGGAGGATGAGGAGGAGGAGGAGGAGGAGGAGCCGGACTCAGCACAGAGCAGCCACAGTGCTGGGCAGGTGGGATGGGGCTGGGGGGGCTGCATGGAACTGGGGAAGCTGTATGGGACTGGGGGGCTGGAGAGGGTTGTAAGGAGTTCTGGAGGGAGAGTGGGGGGTTTTGGGGGTCTGGAGGTGTCTCTGTGGGGTTTTGGGGACCCGGGGGGACTGGACAAAGCCAGCACAGCATGAGCTGCACCCAAGCACCAGGCCCTGCTGGGAGCTGGCTGTCCTCAGTGGGTCTGGGGGCCCAAGGGGAGGTGCCGACCCCTCTTTGCATTTCCAGAGACCAGAGACCCCCCAGAGGGATCAGACCCCCCCAGACCTACTGCACCCACAGAACGGCCACACGCCCCCGAGGCTGCTGAGCACCAGCTCGTCCGTGTCCAGCCTCAGCTCCTCCACGGTACCGGGATGGGGATGGGGATGGGGCTGGGGATGGGGATGGGGATGGGATGGCGATGGGATGGGGCTGGGGATGCGGATGGGGATGAGGATGGGGTGGGGATGGGGATGGGGATGGGGATGGGATGGGATGGGGATGGGGATGGGGATGGGGATGGGGATGGGGTGGGGATGGGATGGGATGGGGATGGGGATGGGGATGGGATGGGGATGGGGATGGGGATGCGGATGGGGATGGGGATGGGGTGGGATGGGATGGGATGGGATGGGGATGGGGATGGGGATGGGGATGGGATGGGATGGGATGGGGATGGGGATGGGATGGGGATGGGGATGGGATGGGATGGGATGGGATGGGATGGGGATGCGGATGGGGATGGGGATGGGGTGGGGATGGGATGGGATGGGGCTGGGGATGCGGATGGGGATGGGGATGGGGTGGGGATGGGATGGGGCTGGGTTTGGGCCGGGCAGGGCGGGCAGGGGTCACCTCCCCATCGCCCCTCGCTCTTTCCCCAGCTGAGCGGGAGCCTGATGAGCCTGTACAGCGAGGGGGAGCTGGGCCGGGTGCCCGTGCGGGGCTGCGTGCAGTTCTCCCTGCGCTACCAGGCGGCCGAGAAGGAGCTGCAGGTGCACGTCCTGCGCTGCCGCCAGCTGGCCGAGGCCAAGAAGCAGCGCTCGGACCCGTGAGTGCCCCCGCCCCGCGGCGCTGCCCAGGCAGCCCCCGGCCCAGCGCCCCCAGCCCCTTTCTCGGCCCCAGGTACATCAAGACCTACCTGCTGCCCGACAAGTCCAACCGCAGCAAGCGCAAAACCGCCGTGAGGAAGAGGAGCTTGGACCCCGTTTTCAACGAGACCCTCAAGGTTCCTGGCCCTCCTTGGGGTGGGCTGGGGGGTCCCCAGGCTCAGGCCGGGTGGGTGGGGATGGGCGATCTCACCCCGTGTGCCCTCCCCGCCAGTACAAGCTGGAGCAGAGGGACCTGCAGGGCCGGACCCTGAACCTGTCCGTGTGGCACCACGACAGCCTGGGCAGGAACCTCTTCCTGGGCGAGGTGGAGGTGGCGCTGGGCACCTGGGACTGGGCCAACACGCGGCCCGAGTGGTTCAGCCTGCAGCCACGGGTGAGCCGCCCCCCTCCCGAGCCCCCCGCGGGTGCAGTGCCCCCGTGACGCCCCTGTGCCCCTCAGATGCCCATCCCCTCGGACGGGCTGGCCAGCCGTGGCAGCCTCAACCTGGCACTCAAGTTCATCCCTGCTGGCTCGGAAGGTGAGCGGGGCCCGTGGGCAGCCGGGGGGTGGCATGGCCCGGCACGCCATGGCATGGCATGGCACAGCATGGCATGGCACGGCATGGCACGGTGCCCCTGACCCCTCTGCCCGCAGGAGCGGGGATGCCGCCCACGGGCGAGCTGCACATCTGGGTGAAGGATGCTCAGGGCCTCGTCCCGCTGCAGAGCGGCACCGTGGACGCCTTCGTGCAGTGGTAAGGGTGGCGGTGGCACCGGGGACACCCGAGGGGCGGCTGGGGCGCCCCCTGACCCCGCGTTCCCCCAGCTACGTGCTGCCCGACGACAGCAAGGCCAGCCGGCAGAGGACGCGGGTGGTGAAGCGCAGCCTGAACCCCCTCTTCAACCACACCATGGTGTACGACGGCTTCCAGGCCAGGGACCTGGCTGAGGCCTGCGCCGAGTTCACCCTCTGGCACCACGAGGCCTTCTCCAAACGGCAGCTGGGCGGCATCCGCCTCAGCCTGGGCACCGGTGAGAGCAGGGGCTGTCCCCGGGCTGTCCCCAGGGTGTCCCCGGTTTGTCCCCAGCCCGGCGCTGACGCGCTGCTCTCCCCGCAGGCAGCAGCTACGGGCTGCCCGTGGGCTGGATGGACTCCACGGCCGAGGAGCAGAGCGTGTGGCAGCAGCTGCTGCAGCAGCCGGGGCGCTGGGTGGAGGCGCTGCTGCCCCTGCGCACCGACCTGGTGCCCCGCGGGTAGCCCCCAGACCCACGGAGCGACCCATGGCGCTGTGGGGTCTGCGCGGGCTGGGGTCTGCGCCCTCCCTCAGCAGCAATGAAGGGGCACCAGAGGGTACAGCTGGCGGCTTTGTATTGCTGTGGGCACAGCTGGCGGCTGTTCATTGCTGTGGGCACATCTGGCGGCTGTTCATTGCCCTGGCCAGCATCCCCTGCCTTCTCCCTCCGCTGTGGGGCTGGAGCTGCTGCGCCCCACTGCTCCCGGTGTGGGGCTGGAGGTGTCTGTATGGGGTTTTGGGCACCTGGGGGGACTGGAGTCACACACTCATCCTCACAGAACAAAACCCCTCTCCCAAACTTCTCCCCTTCCCTAGGGTACTTCAACCCTTTAATCCACTGCCTAAGCATAATTAATTTCCTCAACGGAGGAGAAAACTTTGCCTCTCACCTACCTGACCTTTCCTTCCACCCCTGCCCTTCCAGCCCCTGGGGGCACGGGAGCCCTGCTCTGCCAGGGTGCCCCATTCCTTACTGGGGTGCCCCACACCGGGCTGCCCCGTCCCCCTGGGACCCCACACTGGTTCCCAGTCACTGGGGGGACTGGAGGCTCGGGGCCACCCCCCAGTCCCACCCTGTGGCAGAGCAGCCAAATCCACAAAGGGGTTTTTGCTGCCTCAGGACTGCTGGGGCTGTGGGGTGACAATGACACGGACACCAGAAATTACAGGAAAATCCTTTATTGGTTCCTGTGCCCCCGGTATGGGGCTGGGGTCCCAAAGGGTCCCCCAGTGCCCCCCTGGGTGCCCTGGCAGGCGCAGGGTGGGGGCCCAAGGAGGGATTCAGGGCTGGAGGGGGCCCCCCGGCCCAGCGGCACCCCTGGGAGCAGCCGGGGGGCCCAGACCCCCCCCAGGCACGGTGCAGGGGGGTCGGGGGGCGCCTGTCCCAGCCCGGGCTCCTGGCCTTGCATAGTCGTGGTGGGGGGCTGTGCGGGGTTGCAGCCCCCTGGCCGCGGGCAGGGGGACACCAGCGGTGGCCTCTTCACTGGGGGGGCCAGGACAGCGACCCCCAGCCCTGAGGGGCTCAGATCCTGGGGGTTGGACAGAGAGGAGATGTAGCAGGATAAGGGGCTCCACCCTGGGGGTCCCGGCCCCTCACAGCCTCGGGGGGGTTTGGGGTGTCCCAGGGCCCACCTATGCCATAGGAGAGGGCTGGACTGCACTGGAGGGAGGGAGGAGGGGTCCCCTGCATCCCCCGGACACAGCACAGACACCACCTGGAGGGAGGGGGGTCCCCTGTACCCCTCCCCACCACAGCGACCCCCGGACACAGCGCAGACACCGCCTGGCAGAGTTTAATGGGGCAGCCCGAGCTACAGCGTCACCCCACAGCACACGGCATGCACCCCCTCCCCAAAACAGCACACAGAGAGACGGTGGGGGAGAGGGACCCCCGAGCCCCCCAGAGCACACAGAGGCACAGCACAGCACACAGCGAGGCCCTGGCTCCGCTCCCCGGCGAGCACGGGGGATCCGGGCAGGGCTGGGAGCTCCGGCCAGAATCCTGCGGGGAGAAGCACCCGGGAGCCCCGAGGGGACCCCCAGCCCCATGAGCTGAGGGGAGGCAGTGGGGCAGGGGGTGCTGAGGGTGGGAGGGGCTGCTGGGGCCAGACTGGGGCCAGACTGGGAGCCCTGCGGTCCCCGCGCTCTCAGGGAGGCTCAGGGTGGGGCTGGGGGCACTGGGGGCACTGGGGACACCTCACTCAGGTGGCAGAAGGGGCTCTACGGGGCTGCCCCCGAGGGGCTCCATGCCACAAAGGGGGCCAGGGGGGACCCCCTTCCCTTCTCTCCCTAACAACCGACAGGAAACAGCAAAACCAGTTGGGAAACGCCGTCATGCAAACCAGCGGAGAGGGCCCCGTCCCCTGCGCCCGGGGAGGGCGAGGCAGGGGGGAAGCTCTGGGGGTGGGTGGGGGGCACCCCCTCCCCTCTGCCCAGCACCTACTGGTTGTCCTCTCTGCAGCGTGGAAGGAAAGAGAGAGGGGGCACGGCCCCACATCAGACACAGCGACCCTGGGACGAGGGGACAGCACCGAGACCCCATGGCAGTGCCCAGGGACACATCTGGCACATCTGGGACCCCCCCCGGCAGTGCCCAGGGACACATCTGGGACCCTCCCAGCCCTGAGGGGGCTCAGAGCCAGGACCCAGACAGACAGACAGGCAGAGGGGGCAGGACAGTTGGACAAGGGGACGGGCAGGGGGATGTGAACCCTCCATCTCCCAAACCATCCCCTGAAGCGTGGGGACGGACTGGCACAAAGAGCCACGGGACATGGGACAGTGGGGACACAGGACAGGGGACACAGGACAGGGGACACAGGACAATCGGGCACAGGACTGGGGACACAGACACTCCCCAGGTGACCCAGTCCTGACTGCAGGGATGGCTTGGCCCGGGTCCCCTCCCTCCGTCCCGGATCCTGGGGATGCTCAGGGGGGCCCTTACAGCGTTTGGTAGGTGCTGTCCTTGGACTTGATGAACTTGAAGAGGAAGAAGGCCACGGCCTGCAGGCACAGCACCAGCACCATGCCCCCGATGAAGCTGGCCGTGTCGAAGCCGGGCGCGTGGAACTCGGGGCTGCCCGTCAGCGGGGCACTCGTGGTGGTGGTGGTCCCTGGTGCCAGGGAAACGGGGGGTTTGGGCAGCCGTGGGGGCTGCTGGCACCCCTGACACCAAAGAGAGGGGATTTGGGGTCCTGGGGCAACTGCGGCTGCCCAGGGAGGGACGGCAGCTCCCAGCTTGGGCCTGGGGTGTCCCCCCCAACCCGAGGCTGCTGGGATGGGCTCAGCCCCGGGCCAGAGCAGCTGGAGCTGCAGGAAAGGAGCCAGCAGCAAGAAGATCCCGGTGGATCAATAATTCAGCGGGCTCCGGGCTCTGGTTTCCTGCTGCGCTCTCCAGTTCCCCCTTACTGGAAGAGGCTCCTGCTCCACTCCCAGCCAGGCTGGAGCCGGCAATTCCCAGCAAGGCTGGGGTCAGGGCTTGTTCCTGGAGGGCTGATGGGTGCCATGGGTGCAGAGAGAGGGGACGGGGACAGTGGGGACATCCCTGGGCCCAGCACCGAGTCAGCTCCGCTCATCCCTCCCAAAGGGACGTGAGCTAGAGAGGGAAGAGCCTTGCTGGGACAAGCCCCTGGGGCACCCAGGACCCCACCCCACGGCCCCCCGCCCCTCCCCAGAGCCACTCACTCGTGGGGTGTGTCACCGGCTCCTTGCTATGGGACCGCGGAGGCTCCTCCGTGTGGGACTTCAGCGCTGGAGAAGGCAGGGACAGAGGGCAGGGGTAACGGGGTGTCAGGGGACATTGCCCCACGCCCCTGGAGCCGTCCCCTCCCTCCATGGTGGGGTTTCACCCCCACGGCCCCCGCAGCAGCAGCAGCAGCTCTGTCCCCAAGGCCAGAGGGTCTGGGGGCTTTGGGCTGGGGGTTACCTCGGCACAGGGCGCTGCTGTTGTAGAGAGCACAGGTCCCCGGCACGGCTGAGCCTCTCTGCACGCAGCTCCCGGCTCCTGGGGAGAGGAGCAGAGTTCTCAGGGATCCACACCGGGCAGCCAGCCCTGCCCAGGCCGGCCCTGCCCAGGCACCCGAGGGCTTGGGAGGAGGGGGTTTCATTCCTGAAGTGAGCATCCCCCTGGGGGTCTGGGACTGGGGGCTCAGAGCCCCAGGCAGGGCCTTGGGAGCAACTGAGATGGCGAAAGAGCTGGGACTGGGCACCCAGGGGTGCTGAGAGCCACCACCCTGGGCACTGGGGCTGGGGAGGGCTGGTGGGAGCCCCTCTCTGTGCCCACCCAGCCGAGACCCTCACCTGGCTCCTTGGGGATCCTCAACCCCTCACTGGCTCCCCGGGGGTCTCCAGCCCCTCACCTGGCTCCTTGGGGGTCCCCAGCCCCTCAGTGGCTCCCTGGGGATCCCCAGCCCCTCACTGGCTCCCCGGGGGTCTCCAGCCCCTCACCCAGCTCCTCGGGGGTCCCCAGCCCCTCACCTGGCTCTTTGGGGGTCCCCAGCCCCTCAGTGGCTCCCCGGGGGTCCCCAGCCCCTCACCCAGCTCCTCGGGGGTCCCCAGCCCCTCACCTGGCTCTTTGGGGGTCCCCAGCCCCTCAGTGGCTCCCCGGGGGTCCCCAGCCCCTCACCTGGCTCCCCGGGGGTCCCGCAGCCCGCCCAGACGCAGCCGGTGCCGTTGTGGGGGTGCCCAGCCGTGCACAGCTCGCAGGAGCTCAGCCGGCCACACTCTCCTGCCAAAGCCGGGAGAGGCCGTGAGGGCAGCGCCAGCGCCCACCCTGCGGCCCTGGGGAGGGGGCTGCGCCCCCAGCCCCAATTCTGGTGGGGCAGCAGGAGGGAGGAGGGCACATCCCATAGCACCAAACCCACGCCCCGTCCCCGTGGGGTGTTGGTGGCACCACCAGCCCTCCAGCGAGGGGACAGCCCCAGCTGCAGCTCCCACCCAGCTCGCACAGGGCTCCCCATCACCCGCAGCGCAGGAAACTCCCCCGGCATGGGGATCTGGGGTCCTTGGCGGAGGCTGGAACGAGAGCAGCCGCAGCTCCAGCCCGGCCGGGGTTACCCGGGCAGCGTCCCCGCTCTGCCCGCCCCGGCCCTCCCGCGGGACCCCCGTTCCCGGCCCGGTGAGTCACCGCTGTGTGCGGAGCCGCTCTTCCCCCACCCGCTCATCATTAATTTACAGCGCTGGCTGCGCAGGGAGGCTGCGGGAGCCCTGCCCGCACCGCGGCCCGCGCTGCCCATCCCGGCAACGGGCCCGAGGCCGCTGCCCACGCCGGGGTGCCCCGGGCTCGCCGCGCAAACCCTCGGGCAGGGATCGCAGGGCAAACCCTCGGGCACGGCTCTCCGGAGCGGGCACAGGGACTGGAGCGGGCACAGGGAACGGAGCGGGCACAGGGACTGGAGCGGGCACAGGGACTGGAGCGGGCACAGGGCGCCGTGCCGGCAGCGCTCCCCTTTGGGGCCACCGCTGCAGCCCCCCAGCTTTTAGGGCTCCCCAAACCCCTGCGCGGCTGGCAGAAAAGCCCTTCCCCTCCTTGCCAGGAAAAGCCGAGGGGGCGCAAGGCACGGGAAGCGGAGATGCTGCGGCCGCATTGCCATGGCTACGGGAGGGGGGTGGGCACGCCGCTGACCCCCCCCCGGCATTCGGAGAGCTGCCGGGAGCCAATGGGAAAGTAGGACTTTGTTCGCCAGGCTTTGGGCAGGTTTATAATTTATTTTTATCGCGGCAGGCGCAGGAACAGACGTGTGAGCGCAGCGCCGTCAGCTCCCGCTCCTGCCGCCAGGTGTGGGGAGGGAGGGAGGGGGCGGCCCAGGGCACCCCCCGCTCCCAGGGGCGCCCCGGGAACACGCGTGGGACCGGCCAGGGTGGAAACGTCTCCCTGCGCAGCCGGGGATGGGAGCGGGAAGCAGGAGGAAGCCCGGGGTTTGCATAATTAATGCCCGGAGTTGCGGCGCCTCGGGAAGGAGGGGACGGCTCCGCTCCCCTCTCCCCGCCACGAGGTGCCCACACGTTTTGGGGAGGACTGGGGCCCTGCTCGCCGCTCACCCCGCGCACCCCCCTGGCCCTCGGGGGTCCCAGCCCGGAGCACGGATGGGAGCGGGGCTGGGGTCCCGCTCCCCCAAACCGAGCCCGGGCGGCCGAGTCCCGTGGGGGCGAGAGAACCCCTGGGACAAACCAACCCCCACAGAAAAGTTGGGCCGCCCCGGAGCTGCCGAGGCCCGCGCTGCCCTCCCCGGCCCCGGCCGTACCTGCGCGGGTGGGAGCGGGTCCGTGCGCGCACAGCAGCGCGCACAGGAGCGCGCAGCGCAGCGCCGCGGGGCCCGGCGGGGCCATGGCCCGGCCCGGCTCGGCTCGGCCCGGCGCGGCGCGGTCCCGGCGGATCTCCCGGGAGAGCGGAGCGCAGCAGATGCGCGCCCGCGGGAGGCGGCCCCGGCGGCGCGGGGGAGGGGGGGCGGCCCCGCCTCGGCCCGCCCCGCCCCGCCCCGGCGGGCCCGGCCCGGGCTGGGGGGGGCTCTCAGGGGGTGCGAACCCCCCATGGCACCCACCGAGCCACCGAGCACCCACCGAGCCACCGAGCACCCACCCATGGGCCGCGGGAGAGCCGGGGCTGCCCGGACTGCGCACCGGTACACTCTGTGCACACCTGTACACACCTGTACACACCTGTACACACCTGCACCTCCTGTGCACACCTGTGCACACCTGTACACATCTGTATCCCTGTACACACCTGTACACACCTATACCCCCTGTGCACACCTGTACACACTGTGTACACTGCACACACATCGCACACCTGCCCATCCTGCACGCCCTGTACCCACCTGCCCGCTCCGTGTGCCTGCAGCCGGCCCGTGCCCAGCGCCCCGCACACCCCGCACTCCCTGCCGGCTCCGGGCCCGTGCCCGGGACACTCCGCTCCCTGCCCGGGCTCCCAGGGGTCCCAGCAGAGCCTCAGCCGGTCCGGGCTCCCCGGGACCCCCTCTCTGCTCGGCGGGGTCAGATCTTCGGCTTCGAGGAACCGGCGCGGGGCAAGAGTCCGGAGGAGCGCAGCCTGTCCTTCCTCCTCTCCTCCTCCTCCTCCCCGGGGGCAGAGCTCCCGCAGCCCCCGGGCCGCGCATTCCCGCTCCTCGGGGCCCTGAATTATTCAGCCCGGCAGTGGGAACGTCCCACGGGGACGCACCGGGAGGGGAGGGCGCAGCGCAGCCCCGGCCGTGCGGGGGCCGGACGGGCCCCGTCCTCGCCCACCCCGCACTCCCAGCTCGGGGCCGCCCCCTCAAGTGGAGCCCTCAAACCCCCGCATTGCAGGGCGAGAGAGGGCCGGGGCACCCCCGTGCCCCGCTCCCTCCCGGCAGCACGGCGGTGACCGGGGCTGGGGGGTCCCTCGGGGCTCGGGGGTCCCTCGGGGCTCGGGGGTCTCTCTGGGGTCCAGGGGTTCCTCGGTCGCTCGGGGGTCCCTCGGGGCTCGGGGGCGGCGGGCGGGGGCGGGGTTGGGGGGGGGGGGGGGTGTGCGCTGTTTTTTATGAATGAGCGGCGATTACTATGCGGCGCGCGCGCTCCCGCGCAGCCCGCGCGGGCGCTGATTGGCTCCGCGGCGGCATTGACGTCACGGCGGGGCCGGGGCCGTGAGTCACCCGCGCCGGGCGCCCCCGGCCCCGCTCGGTGCGGGCGCTATAACTCGGCGGCGCCCATGGCCCCGGGCAGCGCCGCGCGGCCCCGCAGGTGAGTGCCCGGCACCGGCGGCACCCGCGGCACCGCGGAGGGGGCCCCGCTCTGGCGGAGCGCCGCCCCACGGGGAGGGTGGCGAGGGCGGCCGTGCTGCCCGCCCGGGGACGGGGAGAGCCCCAGGGTAAGGAGGGATGCCATGGAGGGGATAGAGGGTGTCTGCTGCCGCGGGGTGCTGACCGGGGGGCAGGGGCACCCCCTTACCTGCTGCTGGGGATCCCCTCACTTTGGTGTTTTCCTCTGCCAGTCCTGCTTCTCTGGATTTACCCATCAAAATCATGCAGGGCCCATGCCCCGGCAGCTAAGGCAGGCAGGAGCACGGGTGGTGTGTGTGTGTGTGCATGTGTGTGCATGTCTGTATGTGTGTGTTCCCTTCCCTTTATTCACCTATCTATTTTATTCACCTATTTATTTATTTCTAAACCATCTTATCCAGAAAAATCCCCTCGGAGCAAGCAGCGAGCGCCAACCTCCACTGCTCTGCCTACCCTCCTGAGGACAACTTTTGGGGGCAGGCAGTGCTGTCCCATCCAGGTGGCACAGGGACAGCTCGTGGACAGCAGCTGCTGGGGGCTGCTCTTGCAGGCCCCCCTCTGCCACCATGATGGAGAAGGAGCCCCCCAACTCCAGCGAAGGCCAGCAGGGCTGGTTCTCAGCCAGGAACGGCAGCGGCAGCTCCTTGGATCTGGAGTCTGTGGTGCGGCCCCTCGCCTTGAACCCGTGGGACGTTGTCCTCTGCATCTCGGGGACCATCATCTCCTGTGAGAACGCCATCGTGGTGGTGGTCATCTTCTACAGCCCGGCCTTCCGCGCCCCCATGTTCCTCCTGATCGGCAGCCTGGCCACCGCCGACCTGCTGGCGGGCGTGGGGCTGATGCTGCGCTTTGCCTTCGTGTACTTCATCCCGTCCGAGGCCGTCAGCCTCCTCACCGTGGGGCTGCTGGTCAGCTCCTTCACGGCCAGCGTGGGCAGCCTGCTGGCCATCACCATCGACCGCTACCTGTCCCTCTACAACGCCCTGACCTACTGCTCGGAGAGGACGGTCACCAGGACCCACCTCATGCTGCTGCTCACCTGGGGAGCCTCCGTCGGCCACGGGCTGCTGCCCGTGCTGGGCTGGAACTGCCTGCGGGAGCCGTCGGCCTGCAGCGCGGCCAGGCCGCTGACCAGGAGCCACCTGGCGCTGCTGTCGGCCTCGGTGCTGGCGGCGCTGGCGGCGATGCTGCAGCTGTACGTGCAGATCTGCCGCGTCGTGCGCCGCCACGCGCAGCAGATCGCCGTGCAGAGGCACCTCTCGGCCGGCTCCCACGACGGCGCCGGCTCGCGCAAGGGCCTCGCCACGCCGGTCGCGATCCTGGGCACGCTGGCGGCCTGCTGGCTGCCCTTCGCCGTCTTCGGGCTGCTGGGGGAGCGCGGCCCCGCGGCGCTCTGCGCCCACGCCGCGCTGCTCCCCGCCGCCTACGGCTCGCTGCTGAACCCCGTCATCTACGCCTTCAGGAACCGCGAGATCCAGAAGGTGCTGTGGGCCGCGTGCTGCGGCTGCGTGTCCCCCGCGCCGCCCTGCCGCTCCCGCGCCCCCAGCGACGTCTGAGCCCCGGCCCTCGCTCACCGTCACCTCAGCGCAGCCGGGGGGTTCGCTCCCATCTCCCCTTTTCATGCAGGAGCTCTTGGAAACAAGCAGCTCTTCCCAGCCCCGTCCTCTTTGGGCGCAACCCCTTCTTCTTCTCCTCTATTTTTCCACTTTTTGAATAGAGACAAAGACGTATTTTTTATCCATAATATAATCTATATTTATGTGTCAGAGAGAGGGGGCCGATCCTCATATTTTCTTTAAAACTATTTATGATGCTTTATTTTTTTAAGGGTGGGGAAACGCCAGGAACGTTCACCCCCCTCTTGTTGTTTTTACAACCTTGTTATTTACCTCAGATAGTCAAAATATATTTCATACATTTGGGGAAGGGGAGGAGAGACTCGTCGCCAGAGGAGGAGGGACTCAACCCCCTCCCCCCCTTCTCCCAGCCGTCCATTTATTTATTTATTGCTATTTGAGTTATTATTTAATTCGATTTCCATGCCTCCCTCCCGCGCCCAGCACTGGGCCCTGCTGCCCTCTAGTGCTCGCTGCCTTCGGGGGGGGGGCTGCCCGAGCCTCTGCACCCCTAAACCCACAATTTTGGGGTCCTCTGTGTGCTGCCACCCCCCTCGCGGCGCACAGGCCCCCCCTGCCAAAGCCTTTCTTTGCACTGGGGTTGGATTTGCACATTTCTGGGGAGATGGATGTGAAAAGCCCGTTGTGAAGGGGACCCCTGGGCATGGGGACCCCTCGGCATGGGGACCCCTCGGTGGGTCGGGTTGGGGGGCTGTTCTTGTTTACAACTCTGGTAGGGGAATAAATTAATTTGTGGTACGAGGCGCGGCCGTTTGATGCTGGAGAGGGGGTAGGTCGGTGTTTCCCGAGGGGCAGAGCAGGGGGAGGTTCCCGAGCGCCACCGGGGCCATCCCCTGCTCCGTTTCCCTGCTCCCGGATGAGAGATGCCGAGTGACAGCGCTTCCCGCACCCATCACATCCTGTTAGCAGGAGCTGGCCCGGGGGAGCAGCGCGGATGGCCCTGACCATCCTCATCCTCGCAGCCCCAGCGGGCGCAGGGGCTGCATCCAGCGCTGCTGGTGACATCTGACATGTCCCCCACGCAGGGGATGGATTCGTGGCATCCATCCGAGGGGTGCAGCCTGGGCCCTCCGTCCAGCATCTCTGGAATAGCATCCCTGCCTCTGCCCCCAGACCCTGTCCTGGTGAGGGGGGCACAGGGGCCGTGCCCAGCACCCCCTCACGGAGATTCCCAGAGTCACAGGATAGCCCTGCTGCCCCCCTGCCTGCCAGGTTAATGACGGCAGAGCTAATTAGGGCAGCTCAGCCCCCGGGTACCTCCTGTGCGCCCCCCGAGCCCCCGGCCGGGGCAGCAGCGCTCGCGCAGCAATTTGTGCATCTCGGATGTGCCCGGGGCCGGAGCAGCCGTGCCCGGGGGTGTGTGCGGCCCCGGGCTCTGCTCACCCGGGCTGGGACCTGGTGGCAGCCCCGAGGCCGCGGCTGTTTATTGCGCAGGAAATGCAGATTTCACCGGCTGAGCGCTGGCAGGGGCTGTGCCCGCAGGGCATGGGGCTGAATGGGGACCCACTGATGGTCCCCTGCTCTCCCAGGGCTGGGGAATCTGGGGCTCCCCCTGTCCCCAGCGAGGCTGGAGCTGTTCATTCTACCCAGGGCCCAGCTGAGGTCCCTCAGGAGACAAATCCCAAGCCTGCCTCCCCCAGCAGTGAAAATCCTGCAATTCCCAGCTCTGCTGGGCTCGGGGGCAGTTTTTACCTGGTGATTCTTATATCAACATCACGTGGCAGCTGAAACTGCTTTTCTCTCCCTCGTGCCTCCCCTGCTGATGCCTTCAGAGGGAGCTTCTTTCTCCACGGTGTGCGGGCCCACCCAGTTCCTCCCACTCCCTGGGGTCCCTGTCCCTCCCTGGGGTCCCTGTCCCTCCCTGGGGACAGGGTGGCACACCAGAGTGTGCAAGGCACAGAGGCAGCACCGTTCGGGTGTGCTGGAGCCCCACGAG